ACGTGTTCAAATTAGCTACTTTACCAGCTTCTAGCTCTATAGCGCGTGGGCTGCACGACTTGGCACTAGTTGCAATCGATTTCTTGGGATGGATTTGTATATATTGAGCTAAAATTACACCTATTCTAGAAAACTCGAAGTTGGTGTGTACCACGATGGTTATGCGTTGATCCCTAACAATACGCACTTAAGTATCAGAAAATGATCCGCAAACCCGATTGTAAACATGGTAACACACGAAGTGATAGCGATTTGATGGCCAAATTCTCTTAGTGCAACAACGCTTTGACTGACCACTAACAATATATAGTCGTTTAGACTGATACGCTCATTGATCACGTTGTTGTAAGCTGGCATGAAGGACGGCTGATTTGGTGTGAAGAGGATAGCAGATATCCCCGCTTCCTTTGGTAAAATAATACTAATGACTGATGACTTCAACGTAACCCATTATACATTCCTAATAAAAGTACCCGCTACTGAATATTGTTCTCTAATTCTTTGCTCACTATTCTGATTTGTTGTATAGTTCAGAAAACTATACGCTAAAGCGAGTGTGAACGACTCGAAAGTATACTTTATAACTCGCTTATCCGCTAGGTGACGCTGTTACCAATGCAGCGCGGGTAAGCAAGCTCCGTCTATTGCAAGGCTAGCGGATTGGTGTGGACGGAATGTTGCTATGCTGAACTAACTCTACTCGAAACGGCCCCCTATGTTCCGCCTTTGCAATATCCTGTTCAGTTGCTAGTCTCGGATACTTTGTTCACTGTATCAGAGGTTCAAGACGGTGTGTGGAATATCGGTCTTGGTCCTAGAAAATTACAACACCGAATGTAGAAGGTGCCAGGTGCAACATTCGGTTGGCAAGGCTACCAAAACAAAACGAAGAGAAATAAGAAGGAGTGTGTGCCTCGCGGGGATACCAGTATCAAATTGACAGCATCTCAAGTACAATCAATATGCAGCTTCTCACATTATTGCTCCCGCTTGCCATGGGCGTCCTACTCTTAGAAGCGCAGTCACTCAACAATAGCGCTATTAGCTCGAGCTGGTCTGGAGTCAATTCATACTTCCTCCAAGCATATCAGAAGTATGAACCGGCTGAGACTTCCTTTGCTCTTGCTGACTGTTCACAGAGATGATCGATTGGCTGTGCTCGACGCGGTCAAGAATGCAAATCTGAAGACGCTTCGTATCTTTATCTCGTACACAGCTCAGAACAACAAGGACACTGGGTCAGTAGAGATGCCCGACATTGAGCCACGGAAGGTCGGCACATACGATGATACCCAGCTGCGCGCCATTGATCTACTCATGGTCGAAGCACACGACCGAGGTAATAACTCATTGGGTGTTTGTAGCTTCTTTGACGTTGTTCGCAGGCATCAAATTGGTAATTGCTCTGCACGACCGCTATCAGTTAGGTTGCTGGGGAAACGGTACGCCTATCATGCGTTTGAACCAGAGCTACATATAACACTAATTCATCCTGAACACAGATACATACGTATCAAAATACAAACTTCCTGCTGTCGACTGTGCAAAAACACCTGCTTCTCAGAACGATGTGACATTCTTCTATCAGGACGCATCGCCAATCTTCGATTTCGACAACCGCATGGCACACATCCTCCAACACAAGAATCAATTGATCTCGGGTGCACCACAGTGGAAGGACCTTTCAGATCATACATTTTCGTTTAACATTCAGAACGAAGGACAAGGACATTTGGGCAATAATATCGCACCTGCACCAGGGTGGTGGTGTGACCGAAGCAAGAAGATACGAAACATCATGGGTGACAGTAAAATCCTCATCTCAACTGGCAAGTAACACTCCAAACATTCTTTCATATTTTGTGTTATAAGTATAGTCATTTTAACCATCGTGTTTACAGGCGGCGGCAATGAGTTTCCCAACTCTGATTTACCTGAAAATTGGGCCTGCGACACGCTCGATCTCATTAATATCCACTCTTACAGTGGAGTGTCTGAATTTCGCAACAAAGGGCCCGTAGCGTTACACCACGCTCAAGCCGCTAATAAACTCGTAATTTTCGAGGAATTTGGCGCTACCGGTCCCAATAAATCTACTGTCGTCGGCCAGCACATCGACGTTTTCAATGAACTTAAGGTGCCATGGATGGTTTGGCAGATCAACAAGCCGGGAAAAGGTGCATCCGACTTTGAGTTTTGGACAAACGAAGACACGTACGCGGTAGTCAAACAAGGGGCGGCCAAGGCGTTGGGCATTATTGCTGCTCAGCCGTTTCCTACACTCAACATTTGATTAGATATGGGTACAACAGATTCCAGTCGGGGCACTTACAGATGACCTCTATAACGCAGTGCAAGTGCTCTATCGAAAAAGGAGCTATTTCCACTGTTCGGTTGTCTGGCTAGAGTGAAACAGCAGATTACGTCATAATCCAATAAAATCCATGACGTACGAAAACAATCCATGCAAGATCTTTGACAAAATCAGCCAGACTATAACTCTTATTGTAATCTAAGTGACCAATATCGTGCGCTGAAGACACTTGCTCATGGCTCTGAGTATAAACTGCTTGACCAGGTGCTTCATGACGCGGGAATTGACACCACACCCACACGAACGGCATTTGACTACCCAGGCAGCACTGCTATGATTTTTGCATGAGATGCAATTCAGAAAAGGTACAAATTTGGCAACCTTAGTCCAGAAACCGAAGTCAGTATGATTCGGCATGCATCCTTATAGGAAGATCATCGCCATGAAGGCTATACACAAAGGGCCAACGCCCGCGGTAAGAGTGAGCAGTTCAGAGCGCACCTCACTCACTCATTTTGTCTTCCGTTGCAGGAGCATAGCGTTCGCGGATGGACATCCCCTATCTGTCGTGACTTAGTAACAACTGCTTAGCCCGGGATTCTGTATCCACGCCTTGGCTGTGTACAATCAAATGTGTGCTAGCCTGTATACCCGAAGTGATGGGGCCAGTAAAAAGCAAGTACTTAGCACGGAACATTGAATCTACGTGTTGGCCTGGTCTGGCCATGCATCCTCTATTTTAACATTTTATGAAACTATAGGTAACTGATCGGTGCTGACATTAATCGCAGAGAACACACTTCTGTCACACTCTACCATGAATTTCGTCTTTTTTGTCGCCTCCGGGATGCTTCTTAGCCCCTGATTAGCAAATTTTCACATAATGGGTCGTGAGGCCACATGTGGGCTCGGGGCCAAACCTATCAGGGCGCAGCAGTATGACTTTTCATATTAGCCCTGACTCTGACTTTAGAAGCTTAGGCCTCAAAGCTACGAGAATAATGTTTTCAGCTAACAATGGTTTTGAAGGCAATCACCCTAAATTCCAACACATATAACTGCGGAGGATTATCTAACGTCGCTTACCTAGACCACTGGGATGGACGCCGGCATGCGCCTTCATTCATGTCAACAGCCCAGGTTAAAACCTATGTTTATAATCTCAACTTCTATTCAGAGGGTTAAAATCTCCGATTTAACCAGAGTGATGGTGACGACCAGAAGTTGGGTGATTCTTATCCGTACTCTGGTGGCGGGTTACGTTGCCCTATCGTGGCTGGTATGCGTGACTGTACCTCTTCCTACATCTGCTATGGACCAGTTTTTTTAGAAGAATAGGCTACTACATAATTAGTTATGAGTGATCATCCGAAGTGGCCATGCGATAGTACCACCTCGTATATGGACAAGTAACCGACATGATTAAATTTTAAGGAATTTCTTTTAGTATTTTCCAATGCTATATAAGGTTATATGCTAACAGTTATCGCTTGAATTTTTTTCCCTCTGTTTGCTATATAGCGTATTAGAT